GATATTTTTCAGGCAGTTTTGATTTACTGCCACAGCATTTTGTTGTTGCTGTGCCCAACAGAACAAAATAAACAACCATGCTCAGGATGCAGAGGCTGTTTATGAAAGAAGTGGGAAAACTTGCAGCATTCCCACTGGGGTGACTTGGCCAGGGTGGCAGAGGAAGATCCTTGACCAAGGGGCGGCTGGGTACATCAGCCACCAAGAGGCCTACAGACCCGCGGGGGCCCTGGCATTTTGTTCATTCCAGGGTCATTTTACAGTCATCATGTGAATGGTCTTTTTTACATTTCTTTCCTTAAGAGCTGTCCAGCACCACACAGCTGCCTGTAGGGAGGGAGGAGAGTGGGTGCCAAGAGGCAGCTCTGGCGACCGGGGCACAGCCATAGCAGTGACCTCTGCAGCCTGGCAGCCTTCTCTAGAAGACCCCTGGCAGCATCTGAACTAATAACCCAGTGAGTGGCACCCAGAAAGGACCATTGTGTTAGGCTGCATCTCATCCTGAGGTGCCAATCTGTGGGAATGGAACTTTGGGTTGTTTGTTTTGAAGGCGTCGTGTTCCTAAGTGTGTTTACATGGTTTCACAGAGTAAAAAAAAGAAAAAAAATTTTTTTGGGGCTTGACTTTTTCAGAAGTAGTTGAAAAAAAAATGCTTCCACTATAAAATTCTTGGTGGCCTGTCTACAAGTCAGCCCTAGATGTCTCGGGACAGAAGAGGCCTGCTCGAAGGCGGGGAAGGCTTGGGTTGGAGTGAGAGCCGGTTGGGCTGCAGGTGCAGAGGGAAAAGGGGCAGCTGCGGGCCGCTTTGCTGGGAGCTGTGGGTGGAGATTAGGGCAGTGGGGTCGTGTGCTGGGAAGCTGGCGGCAGGTCGTGAGGCAACCAGAGCCAGGCCAGCACTGAGCACAGGGCTGGCCCCCAGGGTGACTGCTGCCCTACGTTCTGTACCCCAGCTTTTTGGCTTCTCCTGTCCAGGACCAGGGAACAGATTGTGTGGGAAGACTTTTTTGATTTTGCCAAGACAGTTTCTAACTTCCTTCCTATTTTGGTTAACCAGAAACTAAAATTTTAATTCTGATTAAAATCTAAAAAGCTCATCTTTGGGAAAGGAAGTCTCGGATGACTCCAGGGCTTATTCTTGGGTAAAAATAGGTATCGTAGGCTTACCAAGATATGAGCCCTTATCACTTAAGGAAAAAAAAAATCAAAGTATAACTTGCTCCACACTACTGTCTGTTTCCATGTCAGACTTAGAATGGAGTCTGAGCTATCCCCTTCCTCCTTTCCTTGGACTTTCTTCTTTTGTCTTTTCATTCCTTCCTTCTGTCCTCTCTCCTCCTTTCCACTCTGTTTGATACTTCTGAAGTGACTGCCTTTCTTACTTTTTTTTTTCCTTTCTCCATCCTTTGCTCCTGTTGCTTATAACAGATTCAGAAGAGGGGGGGAAAGAATCAAATATCTGTGTCACAGCCATCTCATAAACAATACTGGCTCTTTTCTTTCGATAGCACTAGGCAATGAAAAGCACTGTAGGAGGACATCTGTGACAGGATAGTGATGAATGCGTGACGGCCAGGCAGCAGAGGCTTGAAACAGGTCCGCAGTACTTCTCTGCATTTAGTCAGGACCAAGCTAGAATGAGCGCCCACCGGTGCTCAGCTGGATCCATGAAACAAAGAGGTTTTCTATTTTGTGATGAAAGGAAAATAATTTGGGAGGGGGGGACTCTACCCAAACCTGAAGTTTAGTTTGTGTTTGTTTCAGCCAAACTACTTCAAGCCGTGCCCTCTACTTCTACAGATCTCCATTGTTGCAGAGAAGTTTGCAAAGCCTTTCAGGCTTTGTTAAACCTCTCCAGAAGTTAATTTCAAAATGAAGGCATTCCGAACACTGCTTTTCCAACATGAGATCCCATTAACCTTCCCTACTTTTAAATGACTCGAACATTTTCAACGCGGCTCCTTTTGGCCAAATGGCACTTTGTAGTAATCACATCTCCTGTGAAATGAATTTTTAGAGATTTATGTTAACATCCGATAGGATTAAAATATTCCCGTCTACCACAACAGGAGGGATTGACAGCTTAAACGATTGTCCTTTCTCTTGTTGAAGACATTTCCGATAAAGAATATGCAAAACATTGCCTAAAGACAGGAAAACAAATGCTCAGCCAGAGCTGGAAAGCTGATGTGTGCAGTTGAGTGGAATGTGCACTGCACAACGGGGGGACTCCGTTCACAGTACTGCCATTGTACCTTTGTGTACGTGTTACAATACCTTCCTGGTATTGCTTAACATCCAAAGAGGAGGGTTTCTCTCCCCTCACCCTGTAATTTGCAGAAAGTTCTGTCATCTGGGCAGGCAGTTGTTCTGACACTGACTTCATATTTCATGTTCCTCTTTGCTCCTTGCCCCTAGAACATTAGCTTAATTGCAAAGATTGCTCTGGGTTGATTATGTGTAAGACCCTTCTCCCAACTTGTGGATCATCCCAACCCAACAACAACAAATCAAAACACAGAACTAGAGGTCATTTGAATTCTTTCCTCCCCCTGGTTTCTGCTGGCTGTGTCCCCAGCTGGGATAGCTCATGTGAGTTCTTCGACTTGGCTCTGCCTGGATGTCAGGGGCTGCTGGGAGTGCACCACGCATGCCGCTCACCAAGCTTTCTGCTGTGTTGAGGGCTCATTTTTAAGAGGGATGAACTCGGGGCCAAACAGCCAGTCAGGGGTGGAACTGGAATGAATTCACACCCTGGTCTGAATTTGGATTTGAACTTGTATTCTTTCAGCCCTGGATCCCCCCAATCCTAAATCTCTCCTATTTTCTACTGCCTGCTGCCCTTTCCCCCCGGCCCCCCGGGGTGACAAAGGCTCAGGAATTCCCAAGTGTGCTGCACCGGGCGCCCAGGGGTGGACAGGTCCTCTGTTGGTGGGCAGATGCATTGGTATAACCATGTCATGGGCAATTTTACCATAACCACAACTGCCACCAAGTATGTGAGTGTACTGTCACATACAGGACACTCAGGGCTGGGCTTGACTCCAGTGTGCCTTCTGCGTGGCCAGGGTCCCTCGTACTGACATCTCCTTCCATCCCCAGCTTCCATTCTTACCTGCCCCCCAAAGTCCTTTCACAGCCCTCACTCAGAATACATATCTTAAAACAGAAGCTATGTTACATTGTGTATCTTCTCCATCTTACTAAGAACAAACCTCCAAAATTCTTGCAGCGGGCCACAGAGCCCTCCCAGGGTCCAGCCCTGCACCAGCTCCATGTCTTCTCCTTCCTGTTCTTCCTGCTCTCCCTACTTCCTCCAGGGCTCTTCTTGGACCTGTAGCAGCTCTTTGTGCGTTCACAGTCAGTGCTTGGGGCGGTCCCCTGCTCGTCGGTCCCTTGCCCAGCCAGCTTCCCTTGTCACTGGCAGCAACCGCTGTCCTCGTCTGCTTGAGGTGTTTGCTGAAATGTGGCCTTCTCAGGCCTTCCCTGGCCTGGGAGTTAAAATCACAAGTTCCTGACCCCTTCGCATTCTTCTCTCTGGTGTCTGTAACCACTTTCCTCCTCTAACGTCCTGTGTGATGAGCTCATTTCTTTACTGTTTTCATTTGCTTGTCATGGTGGGAAGCACCATACGGGCAGATACTAATTTTTCTGTTTTGTTTGTTGATGCATTGCTGCACGGTGCTGGGGAGCTCCCACATAAATATGTATTTGTAAATATAAAGTTGGACCTATGGATTTAATTAGCTGCACATAGAAAACAGAGAGAAAAAACTGACTGTACTGAACATGTACATACATTTTTACTGTCATTAATCTTTAAACAATACAGTGTAGTAACTATTTAGATAACATTTACATTGAATGATATATTATAAATAATTTTGAGATAATTAAAATAGGTAAGAGGATGGGATATGTATAGTATGTGCAAATACTAAGTTATTTTATATAAAGGCATGAACATCTGCAGAGTCTGGTACCCTTGGGAGTTCTGGAATCAATTTCCCATGTGTGCTGAATATATTTCCAAATATTTATTGCACTCTTATTGAAATTATTGAGTGGCATTTGGCCCAGAAATTCCACTTCTAGGAATTCATTTTATGATATACATGGATGCAAGGTGACATGAATACTGAAAGTTACTGAATATCCCAAAGGATTAAGTGTTCCTTGAAAACTTTTAATCTTTGTTGTTAATCTGGGGAATGAATTCAAGGCCTCACATTTCCCAGGAGAATGTCTCATCACCAAGCCCCTAAAATAAGGGATTGATCCAAGTTACAGATCAAATCTAATTAAAAATTGATTTGTGCTCCACTCTCAGGTTGTAGGGCTGACGTTGAAGAGCAGATCACTTTTATTCAGAACTAAGTACATTTTCCTTGTACATCTGAGAAAACGATGGAACATACACTTTAGCTTTAGCTTCCTTTGCTCCTGAGTACCTGAATAAAGCTATAAGTTGAGTACAAAGAGATGTTTTGTTCCCACATGCTAACAGTGCTGCTGAAAATTAAGACCAGACACTTTCCTCTTTACCAAAGAGGTGCCAAGCATGTGTCACCCTACTCAGTGCTGCTGCCCCTGCCTGCCTATTCTAAAGATCAGGGAGTAAGCTCGGGGCCAGCGGCTCTGTCTGTAGATACGTGAGGGCTGGGGCTGGCCTTCCCCAGCTGGCTGGTGTTCCTCTTCATGGAGGCGCACTGTAGCATCACACCAGAGTGGAGACCATGGTGGAGGTGAATGTGACGGTGCTCCCACGTGACAGTGCTCCCGGAACAGGACGGAATCTAAGCATGAGGATCTCTCGCTTCCTGGAGATTTCTGCAAGCAGCAGCCCAGCAGAGATCATCTGTTGCTGAGAGGGAAGAAGGGACAGAGAGGGTTATATGGCTTGAAAGAGGCAGCCCCATGCTCTTTGGGGAAATGGAGGATATTGGTTTCCAGTATACTGGGTATTCATGCTTTTTCTTTTCTTTTTTTTTAAACAGGGTCCTTGTTACATAGTCTAGGCTGTGAGAGGGAAATCTTTTCCATGAATTTGGAGGAAGACCAGTGGAAGATGCGGTAGGAGAGACTTGTGCCAGAGCTAGAATGTAAGAGACCATTGAGAACCACTGATGCTATTGCTTGAAGGGAGATAAATGTTGTGACAGATGCCTGCAATGCTTTTGGCAAGGAATGGGGTTCCATTTGGTATGCTGCACTTCAAGGTTAAACTCTTCTATGTCACATAGATGTGGCATGTTTTTGGCTCAGTGCTGAACCATGGGGTTTGGGATTAATATAATTGTGGAAGGCACTGAGTCCAGACACAATTGCACAACAGTTTGGTCAGTGACATTTGACATAAATTCCTCATACATAAAAATTACTCCAAAACACCAGGAAAGGATTCTAGAAAAATAGTAAGAAAAGAGAGAGGTCATCAAAGTTTATGCACATGTTTACATGTTGCATTCATTTTTCCATACATGATTAATTTCATTTTTGGGGTGTGTTGAGTAAATAAAAGTTGTGAAATCGCCACAAAGTGATTCTGTGTGTACAGACTGTGACTTGAAAGGGGGACTCTCACCCTGTCATCTTGGCAGAAGTGCATTAGACTTGCAGAGGGGTGTTCTGACGGAGAGGGACATGAGGACTGGAGGCCATCCACGCAAACATCTGCCACCAACCTGGGGCCCTGGTATTAAAAGGATGAGAGGGAGAAATTATGAAATGGTAATATGAACAGTAAAGATGCAGTCTCTGCCTTCTTTGGGAGTAGTCTCTGTCATCGAGAAATGCACTCCAAGGAGTCTACTGGAACTAAAAAATATCCCCATTGGCTTCATCTTGATGTCTGTTATCTAGTCAAGCTACTGGGTGTGAGGTCAGGCTGGTGGTGCTGCAGTGGGTGTCTCCCCAAGGAAGGGCTCATTTGTGTATCAGCCCCTCGTGGCTCACACACATTCCACTTTCACTGAATTGTAAGATGGAAGCTTGATGTTTGTTGATTTAAAACCTGGGTGGTATGAGATGTCAGGAAGTTATTCTGCTGCACAAAAACTGACATTTTAGGTTTTTGGTGAACCTTATGGTCCTGGAGACTGTGTATTTACTTTTGGAGAATCATGTGTGGAAAGGGTAGAGTGCCCACTGGGGGGCTTGGAGAGGAGGAAGCTGAGGAGGAGGCCAAGACAAAGCCTCCAGCTGCCCTAAGGTGATGCTGGCTCATCTGACCAGGTGGACAAACACTCTGATGATCATTTTGAACACCATCTAAAACCACAGAGGTTAGAAGTGGAACGTATTAGCTATCTTTTGCCTATGCAGCATTCTTTCTCTCCTTTGGGGAACTCTTCCTTCTCATCAAGGTCCTCTGCTGGGCTGAGCCATCCTCAGTTCTGAGAGAAGTCACTTGAAATAGGTGTGACTTAGGGAACTCTCTGTCCACAGTGATTGCTATAGGCACCAGGGAAGACTCCATTAGAGCAGCCAGGCTGAGTACCCAGCTTTGAGGAGGCTTTACTGAGAGGGAGGGTGCTGCTTTCTTTCTTTCATTTTAATATTTTTTTTTTTCGAGAAACAAATAGCAAAGAGACAGTTTCAAAACCAATTAGTAGGACAGTTTCAATAATTAATACATTGCATATTGTTGTTTTCATAGTGGTTATTTATAGTACAAGATGCAGACATGATATCCTGTCCACAAACACTATGAGAACAAAGCTTTCTATTCATTGAATTATGAGAAAGTAGCTGTATATTTATCCTAACTATTTTGAATATACAGACACAAAATGGTCCTTCATTTGTATCCCCCTTTTTTGTTTAGTTTTGTCAGAGAAGGATGTTTCATTGTCATTTAAATATTGTAGGTGCGTGAATTCAGCAAAATATTCCAATATAGTCCAGCAGTCCATAATAGTAGGGGGTTTTCCGTAAGACTGGCAATTTCAGAAGTTGTTACTTTGAGCCTTTTACAGTTTAACATATTAATATGGCTTTACTTTTTATACCTTGTTTTTATACTTTTCTGTTGGGTGGTTAAGACCAAGATAAAGCAAGACCTATATAACAATGTAACTTTTGTATCAGACAAGGTCAGTCAAATCCTCTCAGGATTTATCCTGAAATCCTGTATCAGAGTTTATAGATCCTTTGTCATTGTCAGCCATGTGGATGAGTCATGGCCATTGCTTGACCAATTTGCTCTCTGTGAAAGCCCAAGAGAATGTTTTCTCCCTATGTGACTCTCCTTAGGCACAATCTGCAGAATCGATCACTTTTCTCTGTGACCCCATAATCTCCTTGATCAGAAAATTTGGGACATAACTGAGTTACATGATGTTGCAGTACAGGTTCTCCTATGTCCTGAGTCTTCACTGACCTTGAAAGGCTAGGGCCAAAATGTTGGCTGTGCTTGTAGCCCTTCTTTTTCTCAATTTTTGTCTGCAAACTTAGGTTGTTAGCCTTCCAGAAGACAAGCTTATTTTCATTACCCTACAGCATAGGCAGTTGAACTTAACCTCACTATTTGAATATCAAACATCTTAGACATAACATGGAACAAGTATTTCCATCAAGTATTGATATGCTAAACTTTAAGTCCCTATAGAATATGAAGAAAAAAATTTAAAAAAAGGAATAAACAATTACATATTTTTACACAGAAATTTAGAAATCAAACCATATCCAGCATTGTAGCAGGACAGTCCTGTGACATATTTTTTTGTCTCTTGTTTTGATTTATTATCTTTCTTTGTTTTTAAACATTTACTTGAGAGATAGTATGGCAGTAATTGGTATGACATGACAAGCAGTACGTATTTAGAAGACCAGAATGGCAGGCATTCCAAGCATGACTACCATTACACATTGCTATCTTCAGTGCAGTTGCTTAGTTCACAGGTATGAGCATATATAGTTAGTCAGGGTGAGAATACTTCCAATTAACTGCTAGTTTCAAAAACCTGCTGAAGATTCTCAGGATCATTGCCTTACCCATTTTGTGCATATAAATGTATGGCTTTTCTCTGTCATGCTTCCTAGCTTTTCTCCTTGCCCTCTCTTTGTTATCTAATCCGTAAGTTCTTGCTTTCCTTTTAATTGTGTTATGCCTTTCTATTTGTATTTCTTCTTTTGAGTTCTTACACTAGGGAGACTATACGATATTTACACATGTGGATCTGGTTTATTTCACTTATGAGTGTATCTTCAAGTGGCATCCACTTAAGTATAAAGGTTTTGAGTTTACCATTCTTTATAGCTAATATTCCATTGTACAAAAATACCACATCCTTTTCACCCATTCCTCAGGTGACGGGCATCTTGGTTGTTCCCATGATTTGGCTATCACAAATTATGCTGCTATAAACATAGGTACACATATATCACTATGATGTGATGTTTTCAGTTCCTCTGGGAAAATTCCCAGTAGGGGGATAGCTGGATTAAATAGGATTTCTAGTCCTAGTTTTTTAAGGAGTCTCTACACTGAGTTCCATAATGGTTGCACCAGTCTACATTCCCACCAGCAGTGGAGAAGGGTTCCTTTTTCCCCACAGCTTCTCCAACATTTGTTGTTGGTTGATTTTTTTATGATAACCATTCTTTCTGGGGTGAGATGGGTGGGGGCAGGTTTCCAGAGGGACTGGAATAAAGGTGGCGTTGGCTGAAGCTGTGGGGTCCTCTTGTTCACCTGTAGGTGGCGCCAGCCATGTCTGTGTAAAGTACAGAAACAAAGGAAGCCAGGAAACTGGGTGCTGACAAAGCCTTGAAACCAAGCCTTGAAGCTGATGTGAGTTAATGTATCTCATCCCTAGTGTTTTATTTTGCTCAACCATTTTGAACAAGGCTTTCTCTCACAGAGGTTTCTTATCTGTTACTTAAAGTGTTATGAGAAGATCACAACAAAGTAATTTCAGACGCAGGAAGAAATCAGGAAAAAATCAACTACACGGATTAATTTTCATAAAGGTAAAAAAAATTACAGATAAAATAGATAATTTAACATTGAGATGTAAAGAATCAAATATTAAGAGTGTAACAGTTAAAAAAAGAAAAAATATAAAAGATTGAAACCCATAGATAAAAGTTTAGAATGTAAAAAAGTAAAGGGGATTAAGAGTTGAGAAAAATAATGGAAAATAAAAATTGAGTATTACATTTTTTAAAATTGTTAAGGAGAAATGTCTTAAGAGGAAAGTAAAGACCGACCCCGGCCGACATAGTAAGCAGGCCACTGAGACTGGGCGTGATGGTGCGCGCCTGTAATCCCAGCGCTCAGGAGGCTGAAAACAGAAGAATCACTATGAGTCTGAGGTGCATAGATCCTGAACCAATACATTAAGAAATATATAAATAAAAATAAAATAAAAACAAAAATCTTAAATTTTAGAGAGCAAGGGGCAGGGGAATCAGAGTACATCACTGAGAATTCACACATTTCAAGGTAATGGTGGATGAAAAAAATTCCATTAATTCTAAAAAATTTCATTCTGTGGAACAACAAGCCAACAAGGCAGAAAGGCTTTGACTGGAACTAGTACTTGTAAATATGTCCACCTCATACTGACTCACAGCAGTGCGGCAGGGAGAAGTCAAACAGCCTTCCTATCCTTGGGAAACTGGAAAATTGCTAACATTTGTTTTCCTTTAGCATCACCACATACGATCGGGGCTTGTCCACTTCTCTATTGATCGGCCTGAAAGTTTAGCACATTGTGGACAGAGCTAATAGAACATAGGTATGGACAATAAGACAATTGGCAGAAAAAAAGAGTTACTGGATAAATTTTTTCCAAACTCTTTCCTTATAAAGAAGAAATATGTGGAGATTATATCAGAAAAAAAAAATCCTGTGATAGCTGCCAAACATCATTAAAAGTGTTTAGGATTCCATTTCAGTTTTTGTGGATATGGGACAGCTGATTGTAGCTTCTGAGATTCATACAGTTTGACAACAAAAAAAGGGATTCTATATTCAGTAGAAGTAAGTTTAGACAATATTTTAACAATTAGCATTGCCCCCTGAGGTTCAAATGTAAAGAGAATTCAGTTCCAACTGAAAAACAATTGATATAGACAACCTTTAAAACTCTTAGCAAGTTTAGAAATGGCAAATGGTCTACGTTCATGTTTTCTAATTCAGTAGACGAAAACCCAACTCCATGTTGACATCCCAGAGCAAAGTGAACTATGAAGTTTCACTTGTTATTTTGTTTTGGTGTTTAATCTGTTAATGAAAGCTATTTATTTATTTTTACTTGTTATTTTATTATTTTTTGCTGTAGTAGGGATCGAACTCAGGACCTTGTGCCTGCCAGGCAAGCACTTATTCCACTGAGCTATCTCCCTGTCCCTAAAAGCTATTTTATTTATTTATTTATTTTTTTTTTGGTCACAGAATTTTATTTTCAATGAACATTTCAAGCAGCACATGGGATTAGTCTCCAGACAACTGGTCTACAGTGGTTTCTCAGCACATGTCACATAGCAACGGAGGATAGCAAGAGAGTCAGCTTTGCAAATAGCTTGTATTAATTTCAACTTCATTTTTCTTGAAATATTCTGTGATTGTCTTAAGATAATAAAAGAACATTTTTTAAAAGGCTTAGTTTCATTTTTTCCTA